TCCATAAGATATTTGGGTTATTTATAAATAACCGCGAGACTAAATGAATGATTTTTTTCCTTGGCCCCAGATGTCGAATTCAGATATTTTTCCACACAACCACGATGAGATCGATTTCGAGTTACTTGGGCATCAAAAAAGCAGGAATTGGGTTTTGCAAACAAATATGTATGGAAATGGAAGTGTAAAAACAGGGAGAGAAGAGAAATTTCGACTATGGTTTGATCCAACTACACAGTTTCATGAATACAGCATCATATGGAATAGTCATCATATTGTGTAAGTAAATGCCAACTTAAGCTTATACTATACCTAAAATCATGTCACTTTTTTTGTACATTAATTAATATCGTATGGAGTAACATGACAACTCGATATAACCAATCTTTTCTTAACCTTTTTTTTTTTTTTTTAACTAAAGTATTATGGCTAAAAAGGAACATTACTATTAACTCAATTTAAGGTACAAATAACAGTGTAACAAAATTTGAGGGACGGGTTAGGAAAAAAAGAAGTCATTATTTAGAATTGATAACAGGATACAAAGTTGATGAATTTAAGAAGGTTTATTTATACATGCATTCAATAAGAGTGAAACATACATTATTTTATTAAGAAAAATAAAATTGTAACATGTTTATGTTTGGAACAAAATGGTTTATAGGTAAGATATAAATTGTGGACCTCATACTCAAAACACTATGAGTTGTATCACTTCAAGACTTCAAGTTGGCCATAACAACCAGACACAAACTTCCCTACCCAAACCTTAAATGCCTAGCAACATACTACTAGAAGAAATCAAATCATAATGCATGACACCTAATATAGGCTAAATTAGGGATTCATAAGTAGATTATCTTAAGAAAATAACTTAAATGGATGTCTGCTAATTTAGTTGTTATATTAATATATAGTAAGTTTAATTAATTTTTTTCTTCGAAATGCAGGTTTTTAGTAGACAATATACCAATTAGGGAAGTGCAAAAAACCCCAACGACGTCTTCATCCTATCCATCAAAACCTATGGCGGTATATGCCACAATATGGGATGCTTCACCTTGGGCAACCCATGGAGGAAAATACCCGGTTAACTATAAGTACGCCCCATTTACCGCTTCATTAGGGGAGATGGAGATGGCCGGTTGCATTTATGACCCGAAAGATCTTTCGGGTAAATCATGCTCTAAGAGTAGTAGCCCATCAAGTTTGGACCCTCTTGAGGGCCAAGATTTTGTTAAGTTATCTAATCAACAAAACAAAGGACTACAATGGGCAAGAAGCAAGCAAATGATCTACTCTTATTGTAAAGACAAACGTAGGTACAAAGTCCTACCACCGGAATGTACCACAAAATAACTAGGATTCAATTAATTAATTAATTTTTTTATATATACATTTTTGTAACATTTTTTATATATTTTTTTTACCAAGATTGAATATGTAATTAGTTCTTGAGGACTTGAAAATTGTACCAAAATCACAATATTAGAAATTAAAGAGTAACGATTTGTTTAAGTTTTGTGACTCTTTTGTTGTCATTTAACATAGATTCTAGTAGTAAACTTTACCCGACAAAATTAATTTATTAATGCATTAAATAAAGAAACTACTGTGATCCAATATAAAATAAAGTTCTTTAATTAGTAAAATATATATATATATATATATATAAATAAAGTTAATTTTGTCTTTTTCGTTTTTTTTTTTTTTTTTTTTTTTCTAAAAATCCAACTTGTGCATAATAATGTCTAAATCATAGACAGCTATAAACATTTTGAACTAAAAGATGAGCAGAAATCTCATGAGCTGTATCACAAAATACTTCTGATTCCTGAAATCCCTTTTATAGGGCATTTTGGGCTTGGACGAAATTGCGGTGTTCCCTTAGTTGACTATTTCATAATCATAAAGGTTATATTTTATGAAAGTGATTAACAAAAATTGATGTTTTTGAAAAGATATAAAGTTATTGATGGGTTTACAAAGTTGGTCCAAATAATACATGGGCACATCTATATATATCACCTAGATATGCAGCTTTAAGCCTTTAACCTATTATAAAACTCTACATACAAATATACTACTCCCTTTCATACTCCCTGTTATAATACTTGTACCATTTTTATACAAAATATTTATGTTCGACGGATTACTCGGCATGTTTTATATAAAGTTAGTATATATAGTTGAACCAAAAATTTGTAATCAAAATTATGATGCTAAGTAGTTCTACCCTTTTTGTGATAAATAGTTCACTTTGAACACGTCATTGGCCATCCACTATCTTTGTTACTCAATAGTTGCATCATTTCTCTTTTAAAGGTTAAATTTATAAAAATTATGATCATAAATTCTCACTACTAATACGAAAACAAAGTCAAGTGAGATCTTGTTAAATGTTAAATGTAACTTTGTTAAAAGCATCACAATGTGTTTTTTTCAAAATATTAGCTATTTTATGTGCAATTTTTACAATGCACAATTAAAATATTATTGATGATCATATTAGTGCATTAAAATTGTTATAACGTATGCAAGAAAGAATAGATGGTGAATGTAAAATTGACAAGAAAAACACACACGGATTTACAGGGTTCACCAATAATGTGTTGGCTACGTCCACAGGCAGGCGAGAGTAATAGTTTTATTGACTTAAGGAAAACATATTACAGATTCAGAATAGATTTGTGACCATTCACTGAAAATAGATTGATTGTCTTTTAGATTTATAATGTTATCTCTCACATATCTCACCTATGAGAAAAACACAAAATACTCTCATATTTCTGAATAACCACTCAACTGATTTGGCTAAGGGTAACCCTAAAGGTATATATAGAACTCTTCAAAACAGAAACTGAATTTAGGCCACAGCCCAATTCATAACCACACAGACCAAAACCGCACGACCGTGTGCCTTAACATGTCTTGTAGTAGCGGAACTACACGACCACATATTTGTTCAAAGTAATTAATTATATTGTTTTATTGATGGTATTAAATAGTATTATCAACATTTTTTTGATTTATCAAATTTTTTATTTCATTTATGTAATTTTTATTCTTATTTTATATGATCTCAAAAAATATTTATTTTATGTTGGATTAAAATTTTCAAAATTTATATTTATATTGTAGATATTATAAGACTAATTATGGTTATTTTATAAATTGAAAAACTTAACCAATCATATTATATATCATTAAATAAATATAATAGTCATCATTTTTCAAAAGACTGCTTATATTTCTCTCAAATAATTACACGTTTAGTGAAGTTGTTTTACTCTCTTATTAGATAATTGTTGTGCATTTGTGGGCCATTAATCACGTGAACCTTATAAGTAAGGACTAACAGAGGATCTTTAGTAAGATTTTGTGTTTATTTTTAAATCTATAAAGCCAAAACATGAGAAAATGTTATTGGAGTAACATTTCCTCATTAAAAAAAAAAAAAGTATTTAGAGTAATTCACCATTAATAATCAACAACAGCCACAAAAATTTAAAAACAAAAATAAATAGAGAGGGCTAGTATCCATGTTATAACATACTTGTATAATTTTGCAATATTCTGTAATATATGGTGCTGAATTACTTGGCCATAATAAAGTAATGTGTAGTGAACATACTCTGCTCGATTCATTAAGGGGCCGTTTGGTTCATCCGGGGTAAACGGAATGGAATGAACAAAGGGAATGGAAGTGAATGGAATGAAAATACCCAATATTCTCTATGTTGTTTGTTTTAGAAACAAAGGGAAACAATCTCATCAACCCACCACCACACAACCACCCCACAACCACCTAATTCATTCACTTTTCACCTTTTGTAGCCACCATCCGTCCCCCAAACCACCAGCCTCACCTTCGCCGCCCTCCGCCGCACATTCGCCGCACACGCACATCACTCTCTTCCCTGAGAATCAACCCCGAAAACCCTAGAAACTAACCCAGCCCCTAGAAATCCCTCCCTCTCCCCGCAAAACTGTCGTCCGACCCTCCCCCACCCTCGAAACCCTAGCCGCGCTAGGGTTTTGAGGGTGGGGGAGGGTCGGACGGCGGTTTTGCGGGGAGAGGGAGAGATTTTTAGGGGCTGGGTTAGTGTTTGCGTGAGGAGAAGAGTGTTTTACGGGGAGGGGGAGACGCGGCGAAGGTCGTCGGAGACGCGGCGAACGTCGTCGGAGAGGCGGCGAAGCAATGGGTGGTGCGGTGGTTGGGTTTCTCGCTGGTGTGTGGAGGTAGGAAGGTGGTGATGTGGTGGTGGCTAGGGAATGGAATGGAAAAGTCTAGGGGGGTGGGGAATGAACTTAGAGGGATTTGGGGTAATGAAGAGAGGAAAGGGAATGAAAGAAAGTGGTAAACAAACATCAACAAAAATCAGGCCAGTTGATTCTCATTCCCTTTCCTGATTACCCCCAACCAAACGGCCCCTAATTGTGTATATCTTTGTCTTCCTACTAGTAGCATATCAACTTTGGTTGACATAATAAAACATGGGAATTGAAACTTCCTAGGAATTGCAAATTTTGTATGTTGTTTGGTTGGCAAAAATTTGGTGATATGGGGGAAGTAGAACTTCTTAAGAATTTTGAGTTCTCACAAAATGTAGGAATTTTGAGTTCCCACAAAACTCAAATCCCTATAATCAAATTCATGGGATTTTACATCATAATTTGAGTTTTCATATATTACTCGTGATATTTACGGTCAATGTTAACCAAAAAGTTAATTTAGATGGGTAATTAGCGGCAGAGATAGGTTAAATAAGTACTCTCTCCATCCCTAAATTACATTCCTACTTCTAACATTTATATAATAGAGAGAAGTAGGAATGTAATTTAGGGACGGAAGGAGTAATTATTTGCTTGTGAAAATACATTTTGAATTACGACTCAAATTTATGACGTTAAATAGTTGCATTTATATTGCAGCGCAGCTAAATTTGGTTGTGTTCACTCGTTCTCTTCTTAGCACATCGGCGGAGTGACATGTAAGGTTTTACAAAACAGAGATTTTTAATTCACAAACATACCAGCATTCAAAATCAAGCGTTGCTAACAATATAAACCAAATTTATCGACATCATTAAGATCTAACTGCTAATTGCAATATACGAAGTACTCCGTATATCAGATAAGGATCTTTTATCATCATCATCATTCACCACCAATGTTTGATGATAAAGCATAAAATGATATAAAGATTGAGCTTAGCCGCCTTTTATTTTAGGAAAGAAAATAGTTTTTACTCTATAGCCAAGCTGGATTCTTCAAGGCAGTGACAACGGCCTTCACTTGCAAGTAGTTTTGCAAGCTGTAAATTCCCTTCTCTCTACCAATGCCGCTCATTTTGTACCCACCAAAAGGGATTCCAGCATCAAAGATGTCGTAACAGTTTATCCACACTGTACCAGCTCTTAGAGCGCGTGATATAGTGTTAGCAGTGTCGAGGTTCTGAGTGAAAACTCCAGCTGCCAGTCCATACTCAGATGCATTTGCTCGGCGTATCACCTCCTCTATGCTCCTATGGAACAAGACAAGGACAGCATTTAATAAAAGTTTTGTATGTATATATTTTTCTTTCTTTCTGTATAAATGTATGCATATGTCACTCACTTGAACTTCAAGATGGTTTGCACTGGACCGAAAATTTCATCTTGTGCTATCAACATGTCATCCTGAAGACAGTTATAATGGATTAGCTATGAATCTTGTAATACTGCACATTGTCAGGAAAACTGAAGCTAGGCTTTTATACCGTTACATCCGAGAAAACTGTGGGCTTTATGTAGTAGCCCTTTGATCCTAATTTGTCCCCCCCTGTTTCCAGGGTAGCTCCACTATCGACCCCAGATCTTATGTACCTCAATATCTTATTAAACTGCTCTGGATCAATCTACATAATTCAAAAGTGCCACCATAAACACAATCAAACAAAATGTTCGAACAACCAAATGGTTTATTGCAATTAAAAGCCAGGAAATAAATGATAAGACAAAGACTTGTAGAGATTAATACTGTATATGGATTACCTGAGGACCTTGTTCAATGCCTTGCTTAAATGGATCTCCAACAGATCGGCTTGCAGCTCGTGCCTTAGCTTTGGCAACAAACTCATCATATATACTTTCATGGACAAAAGTACGAGACCCAGCACAACAACATTGTCCCTAAAGAAAGACGCAAATCACTTGATCAGCAATTAGGATTACGAGCCTTCAAACCAACAACAAAAAACAAACTCATATATGAAAATTTTCAGCTCATACCTGATTAAAAAATAAAGCAAAATGAGCAGTCTCCACTGCTAGGTCTATATCTGCGTCTTCACATATTATGAATGGGGACTTCCCACCAAGCTCCAAAGTAACAGGCTTGAGATTGCTCTTTGCGGCTAATTCAAGAACTAATTTTCCTGTGCTAGTTGATCCAGTAAAAGCAAGCTATGGAAAAGAATAGGTTGAGACTACTAAGCACTATATAGCAGCCTCTATTGCATAATATAATTAACAGAAAAGTATATAGCCTTAATCAATTAGTCTAGTATGGTTGTAGTTTCAACATTCAAAAGAGGAAAATTATTCAAAGAGTTTTCCAAGAAGTTGAAAACTTAGACAGAAAACAAAAGACAAAAGACATTCCTAATTACCTTGTCCACATTCATGTGAGAGCAGAGGGCTGCACCAGCAGTTGGTCCATAACCCGAAATCACATTTAGCACGCCTGGAGGGAGTCCAGCCTGTGATGACACAAGTTATCAGTAATTGTCTGAGACTAATAGATAACTTGAAAGACAGATGCAAAGTGTATTTCTAATCAGAGACTGGTTGATCAATCAATAGGACGATAGTCAATTTCCACGAAATTTCTCAGATTTACATTTCTCTCTTGCAAATGAGAAGGGATAGTTATCACATGCAAACATAATCAAGTTCATGACCAAAGAATGAAAGTACCTCATGAAATAAGTTAGCAACATAAAGTGCTGACAAAGGAGTCTGTTCTGCTGTCTTTATAACAACTGTATTACCACAAGCTAAGGCAGGTCCAACCTTCCAAGAGAACATTAAAAGGGGAAAGTTCCATGGAATAATCTGCCCTGCTACACCAATTGGTTCATGCAGAGTCTGTACATGATACGGTCCATCAGCAGGAACAGTGAGACCGTGTATCTTATCTGCCCAACCTGGGATCAGAAATCAAAATAAGTTCTCTGACAGTAAATTGTTCTAGGGCCACAAAATATAAGAAATGCAACCTTGCTATATAAGTTACTTATTTACAAGAAAATGTCATAGCTAAGGGTAATCTTAATTATGGAGTATTTACTTACCAGCATAGTACCGGAAAAGGCGTGCAACCATAGGTATTTCAATATTGGCAGCTTGCTCATAAGGCTTTCCATTATCCCATGTTTCTAAAGCAGCAATTGCATCATTATGCTTTTCAATAAGATCAGCAAACTTCAAAAGGATTTTTGATCTTTCCTGCAGTAGATCAACAGTAAAGTTGGATTACAGCATATTCATAACTGTGAATCGAAGTATAATTTCACAACTTTTTGGAAATTTAGTTACATAAGCTGTCATCTTTGGCCATGGTCCTTCATCGAATGCTTTCCGAGCAGCAGATACTGCTCTGTTCACATCTTCGGCATCTCCTTCAGCAACATCAGCAATCACTTTCCCATTCCGAGGGTCCACTGTGTGAAAAGTTTTTCCTACAATAAGCGCAAACATTAGTATTGAAAATATATCACATTTGTATCAGATAATTAAACAGAAAATTCGAAAATACCTGATGCTGCATCTACAAATTTGCCATTAATAAGAAGCTTTGTATAATTTATATCCACTGGTGGGGTAATTGGTTCATCAATGGCAGCAGCAGTGCTGTATTTTGGAAGTCCTCTCCTGATACAGGAGCTCCTTCCTACTTAAAAAAACATTAGAGAATGTTGAGTTCATCGATCATTGAAAGAAAAATAAAAGTCTTCCTTTAATGCAAAATGGTTACTAGAATATCAGTGTTGTACATATTTATTCATAATTATCAGTACACAATAGGAAAAAAAAATAAAGATATTAAATCACTACACACCAACAAATGATGATCAAAGAAGTTCCCCCCTTTTCAGACATCTGATCAGTCACATACGTTCTAAACCTCGTAATGCGACCCCCAAAAAAGCAGTAGTATATACAGAGATCTAAGCGCAATCCTAAAACACATTTACAAAGGATTCAACAATAGATGCACAAACGTAGTGATACTATATGGCAAGCTATAAAAAATCACTTAGGTGTATGATTATTGGAAACTATATTACCCTAGAGCTATTGTGAGTTGTTAAAAGTTTCAATGTTTCATATGTCTGAGTATCTTTATTCATTTCTTCCATAACATTCAAGAGGTAAGCACTCTAAAGCAAAAGGCAAAACCTTTGTCATCCTATAAATTCCTAAATTCTGTTGAATGATCATTGGCTCAGACTTTTCAAGGAAGAAACTTATAATCCTTGTCCATTGACTAAAAAAAACAGCAGAGAGTACCTAGTCCAAGTTGTGGCCTTTTTGGCATCAGATAATCACTACTCTCCAAAAATCGAAGTTCTACTAAAAAACATTGAAACAGGGGGCAGCAGGGTGTAATTTGGCTAACAAAAGTAACAATGTTTACAAATGTGAACACGTTGTAATTAACATAGACGTGATGTAACCATCCATCCAACTGGTACCCTAGTGGGTGCAAGAAATGGGGTATCAGTCTAGCATCAAATTATTTCTACTCATCATTTGTCTTCCATTATTCCAAGTGAACATAATTGCATACTTCAATATTTGCAATCAACCCTAGACGTAAAAAAAAAAATGGAAATTTTTTGTACTAACATGGAAACTACATCAATACTCCCCCTATTGTACTTATCTTTACTATTGTTACAAATTTACAACGACTAATAGTGGAACAGACGCGTTTCAAGAACACTGCTATCTACATACAGTAGAGCCCTTATAAGATGCCCCTTATAATAAAGCCAAATTCAATCAAATCCAAGTAAACATCAATAATTGTTTTTAACAATGAATCTCATGCTTCCTAGTTTTAGACCTCTTAGTCGAAAATATCAACCACTTTACAAAAGTGACATTTCATTGTTGATCTTTTTTCCTATCACACTAATTTGTTTGGTAACTTAGAAGTTGAAACCCTGCCGCCCGCCAATCAAAATGGACCCACACAAATGAGGTGAATGATTGAATCACTAATTATTCTATGTAAATCCAATAACCTTGAACAACTTTCATAGAACAAAACAGTAATTCTTAACATTCCTCAATTAGGAGCTAAAGATTCCTTTGACGGCTGAAAAAAAAATTAGCAATTGGCAATTGGACTGTCCTGATTCACTTGATCAACATGCAATAACTCTGCAAAGCTATGTGAGCTTGAGACTTCACACACAATAAGTTTTACTATAGAGAAAGGGAACTCTAATAAAGAGACGGAGGGAGTACTTCGTATTATTTTTGTTCTGAATGAACAACAAAGGCATTACAATTTACGAGCACAAATTACAAGAACTTTCTAAACATTCAAAATTCAAAACTAGTTTGTGTGTAATGTGTATCTCTAGCACAAGGTGCACAAGCGGAATGACTATAAGCATTAAATATACCCCGTACAAGTATCTAATAAAATGGTCCAGCATAAAAATTCATGACAAACTATGTCTTCGATTGGTGTAATTAATGTTTAGTTTCCTATACGGATATAGTATCATTATCCTAAAACCCGGAATTATGAGTCAAATTCAAATCCCAAGAACAAATGGTCAGTCAGAAGAGTGAGATCAACAAACCCACCGAATCAGATTGAGTGACAAACGTAGCATCAACATAAAAATTACAAAATAAAAACAAAATTCATGAATTGATATTTTTTCAACAAAATAAAAACAGGGTTAACATCTAAAATTATTAATCAAATGAGGGTAAACCAACAAACCCATCAAAACAAACAGAAAGATAATATAAACAAACAAACAAAATCAAAATGAACAAAAATCCAACCAAATTAATAACAATTTCGGAAGAAACAAGGGTAAAATTGTTGTAAATTACCAGGAGAAGAGGTGAGATAAGGTGAAAGTGAGCGAGATAACAAAGATGAAACCCTTCGGCTTGCCATTTCTCAAGTGATTTGAGGAGAGAGAAAGTGGAAAAGATTGTATCTTTTTAGGCTTCTTTATATGAAAATTTCCTTAAATATAGGGATTAGGGGGAATGAAGTCGATATGAAATGAAAATGATGAATGAGAAAAGAGTGTGGGAGAGGAGGTGCATGAAAAACCAACTCACTCTCACTTCACCAACAACAACGTTTTGGACATACCAATATGCCATACGTGACTTGATTTTATTAGGGTCGCTTTTTTTAGAATCCGAATTCTCCGTCTCACTATACATGGTGTTGACGTGTTAGCTTTTTCCTATCCGTTAATATTTGTTATCTCAGTCAATATTTAAAGTCAATAAAATAAGTTACTATCATTTTATAAATTCGGCGTAAGATACAGTTTTATTTTAAGAGTATTTCACTACAAGAAGGTTTTATTTTTAAAAAACAACAAAGTTGTAAATCTATTTTTATATTTTTTTGTTGATGGAATAGTTGCAAATTTAGATGCAAATTTAGAAGGGGAACATTTTGTATTAGAAAAAGGAATAATGAAGAATCAAAGGAAGACTAATCTCCATATTTAGGAAATGTGTTAATTTGTCAAAGGAGATGACAATTTTGACATTATTGGATCATATATTCATATGGATGGTATTTTGCGTCTAAGTTAAGCAATTGGGATTAGGGTTCTCACTCAAATCTATTTTTCCTTTTTTTTTGTATTATTATTATTCTTTTTAATAACACTCAGCCTAGCCTCATACACAATTCAATAGTTGCATGGTGTGATTATAAGAGATAGGGTCATTCTTTCAAAAAAATAAAATAAAATAAGAGATAAGGTCATAGGGAAATAGTATTTATAAAATTTTAAAAGCGGAATACTACTGCGTATGATACTAAATAAAGCTTAATATAAATTTCTTAGAATAGTTAAATACTTCCTCATTTCTTTTCAACATACAATTGTTTAGAGTTTCACACTTATTTATGTTGTTTTAACTATGAGTATTTTATGTCTATAAAAGTAGCAACCATTGATATCATCACTCTCTCCAAATTGTACACGTGTTGCTTTCTCATGAAAAATTTTCCCGCCTAAAGACATTTCGTAATACGCAAAACAAGGTATTTACATTTCATATTTGCCAAATCTAAGCTCAATTTGGATCCTTTGGAACCAAAATAGCCCCTAAACTTTAAACGGAATATTTTAGAACGCGCAAAAATCAATAAAAAGTATTAAAAATTGGAAAGTGGGCCCCACTAATAGAATTTATTAACGGTGAGTTTACGGCAAGGTTACTATATAGTCCCTAAATAAACTTGTTGGTTAATTACTATGTAGAAGTTTTAAAAAGTAAAAACACATCGTAAAATTTCTAAAAGTTGCGAGTTATATTGTAGAATTTCCCTTTAATCTTTATATCTAAAAATGTCCCTAATAAAAAATGTATTTTGAAATGGTCAGACGGACGCATAAAAGAGATAATGTTGCATGTCCAACTTCCCTTTCATTCAATAATGAAAATAAAATACTGAAGTAATTACTTTCTTAAGTGTGATCAACCAATCGCAAATTTTTCTAAAAAAAAAAAAACAATCGCAAATTCACAATAAGTAATTACTCGAAAAATTTGTCTGGAAGGGACATATATGTTCACTATTTTGTTTGGAAGGACATTATATGTTTAAACTTTAAAGTGGTCTTAAAAAAACCTTATAAGTTTGTTTTGTTGTTTGGGGGATCTTGAGGTCGAAATCCGACAATAATTGACTTTTTTCTCTGACGTTGACTTCTTAAGTGATCTTAAACAATGACCCCCTTTACTTTTTTTTTTTCTTTTCACAATTTCCCTTCAATTCCTCATTCTCTTATCTAATCCTCAAACGACACATATCAAAATAAGGAAATTAGAGAGAAATCATGGAAAAAAAATAAAAGAGGATCATTTTTTAAGATCACATGAGAGGTCAACATCAAGGAAAAAAAACAATTAATGTCGGATTCCGACCTCAAGGTCCCTCCAAAATCCAAACAACAAAATTAACTTATAAAGTACTTTTAGACCAATTTAAAAATATAAGATCCTTTCAAACAAAATAGTAACATATATCCCTCCTAGACAAATTTTCCTAATTATTCCGTATATATTTATATGGTGCATTCATACTATAAATTCTCGGAAATGCAATCAAAACTATGACAGACAAGAAAAAGACCCAAAACACACACACACAAAAAAAAAAAAAAAAAAAAAAAAAAAAAAAACCAAATCCAATTTTGTTCACACGCCAAGTGCCTTCATCCATGCAAAAAAATCCAAATAAGATAAATTATTAATAAACGTAGTCATTCAATCATTCATAATTAATTATACAACCAACCTCATGTTATTCAAGGCCAAAAAAATCAATAATTATCATATTATTTTATAAATGAAATGAATTTCGAGTCATAAGATGGAACAAGTTGAGTATGAACACATATTTCTTAGGTTTTTCTAGTTCAGGTAAAAATGTAAAATAGGTTATGGTTGACACGCAACTATTTTGGTCAAAACTCACATTTTGAGCGGAGCTTGAACACAATAGATCTTTGACTAGCTAATGCTAATCTACTACCAAAACAAGGTTAAACAATGAAAAAGATGCATTACAACTTTATACATAATTTTTAATTAGATTTAAATTCAATGATAATATTTAATCGTGTTGTTTTGGACTAAAAGAATGTGAAGTAAATAAAAGTTCAAAAATTTTGAAAAATAAGTCCAAAAGAATAAGACTCAGGGCTTGTTTTCATTGATTGAACTGAGCTGAGCTGAACTGAATTAAACATTTTATAAGAGAAGGAAATTAGGAGCTGAAGTGAACTGAACTGAACTGAATTTCAACGTATGAGAACAGGTCCTTAACCGTCTTGAAAAAATCCAAACCATCAAGCAATATCTTTTAGTTTAAGTACTCCGTAATTTTTTCCACATTACAACAAAAAAAATAAAAAAGAATATTTGTGTTGTTGCGAACTTGATGATAACTTGAGTGAGAATCCGTGTGGAGGATTGGTGGTCGTTGTTGAAAACTTGAAAAGGGTAGTATTGATGAGAAAATAAAATCTCCCAAACTTCAACTTGTTCTTTGGGTAGTATTGTAGGAGACTAGGAGTAGTAGTTGTCAATGATGTCAAAGATTTTTTTCAATATCTGAAAAATGTTTAATACCGAGTACTTGTTAGAAAATTGCAAAGTTTTAGAAATTTAGATTGGTTTTTTTTTTTTTAGAAATTTATTTGTCCGTAATCATCATCCACCATTGTCATTTACTAGTGAGCCTTCAGAAAAAGTTTCATGAATAATGAGTAATGGCTATTAGGTAGCACTCCGTAATATTGTGATAAATTATTTGACTATTTTGTACAAAAAACACAATGATGAAATCATGAAATAGAGGAGCCCCTCCAAAAAAGTAGGGCACCGAATACTTATCATAAAACAAGAGCGGGCCAGAGCTCTTAAGCCCATGTGATGTTATTGGATGGGGATCGGGTTGTTCTTAGACCTAGAAAAAATCGTGTTATGTCGTGTTTTGTCATATTAAACATGTGTGAATATGTTATAAATGCAGTTTAAGCACACAATGCTTGACTCACGTCCTGTACCAACAAATACACTTGATAATGTTTGTATTCAAATCCAAGTATATATTTTTTAAATTGGTCGAAAAGAAGCAAGCCAATCATCATGCTCATACCAAATTTTTATAAGATGCTCGTAGTCCACCATCGTGCCTCTCATGTCGAATTTAACCAATTTTTTTTTAGAAATTTATTTGTCCGTAATCATCATCCACCATTGTCATTTACTAGTGAGCCTTCAGAAAAAGTTTCATGAATAATGAGTAATGGCTATTAGGTAGCACTCCGTAATATTGTGATAAATTATTTGACTATTTTGTACAAAAAACACAATGATGAAATCATGAAATAGAGGAGCCCCTCCAAAAAAGTAGGGCACCGAATACTTATCATAAAACAAGAGCGGGCCAGAGCTCTTAAGCCCATGTGATGTTATTGGATGGGGATCGGGTTGTTCTTAGACCTAGAAAAAGTCGTGTTATGTCGTGTTTTGTCATATTAAACATGTGTGAATATGTTATAAATGCAGTTTAAGCACACAATGCTTGACTCACGTCCTGTACCAACAAATACACTTGATAATGTTTGTATTCAAATCCAAGTATATATTTTTTAAATTGGTCGAAAAGAAGCAAGCCAATCATCATGCTCATACCAAATTTTTATAAGATGCTCGTAGTCCACCATCGTGCCTCTCATGTCGAATTTAACCACTTTTGTACTAGCCCAACACATACGTCATATCTAGCTTTACATAACTAAGTTGGTGATCAGTTTGTTAGATGATGTAAACTCCTTAGATTGGAGTGTATTCTATTGATTCAAATATATAGGGTTACAATCATGAGTCCTAATCTTGTTAGGAAATCTCAAAAGATATTAACAAAATATTCACAAAATATATTCTTCTATACAGAATATCGACAGAATAATTATCATATTCTATCACACCCCCGCAGTCATAGCGATAGGAGTACGTACGCTGAGACTGGATCTGAACTCAAGAAATAGTTGCCGGACCTTTAGTGAAAATGTCTGCAAACTGATATCGTGATGGAACATGCAAGACCCGTACATGCCCCAACGCCACCTTCTCACAAACGAAATGAATGTCCATTTCAATGTGCTTGGTGCGTTGGTGATGTACGGGATTATGAGATAGATAGATTGCACTGACATTATCACAATAAACAATAGTTGCCCTCCGAAGAGGACAATGTAACTCTAAAAGAAGGTTACGTAACCAACATGCCTCAGAAACGACGTTTGCGACGCCTCTGTATTCTTCCTCTGCACTTGATTTCGAAAGTGTAGGTTGACGCTTAGACGACCAGGAAATAAGATTGTCCCCTAGAAAACAGCAATATCCTGAGGTCGACCGACGGGTGTCCGGGCACCCGCCCCAATCTGCATCAGTATATGTAATCAAGTCTGTAGAAGTGGAAGGATATAAATGTAACCCATAATCAATGGTGCGCTGAATATACCGCATAATGCGCTTCAATGCATCAAAATGAGGCACTCTGGGATCATGCATAAATAAGCAAACCTGCTGAACTGCGTAAGCTATTTC